GTGTGTGTGTGTGTGTGTGTGTGTGTGTGTGTGTGTGTGTGTGTGTGTGTGTAGTTGTGCGGCGGCCGGGACCCGTTCGACGCATGCAGGCGGGCGAGCGTCGCAGTCCGGCTCACTGCCTGCCGACAGCTCATGTCGAAAGTCTCGCGAGGCCAGCCGCACCATTTGCATGTCTGCCGCCAGCGCTTGCTGCTGCCGTCCAGCTCCTGCCGCCCGGCTGGACCTGCACCCCATTTCACCTCCCCTCACCCCGACCTCACCCCCAGCCAACCCACCCCACCCCACCCGGCCCGCTCCCCGCCCGCTCCCCGCCCGCTCCCTGCCGCAGGGAGCGCCCCCTAAAGCTGGTGGTGACGTCAGCAACTCTGGACGGCGACAAGTTCTCCGCCTACTTCGGTGACTGCCCGGTGGGCCGGGGGTATCGGATCAGCCTCTCTCCGCCCCTGCGCGCCACCCCGCCTGCGCTCCCACCCAATGCCCGGCGCCACGCATGATGTGCCAGTCTGCGCTGCGCCGCACCCCCTTCAGACAGCCCGCGATCACTGGATACTGGCACCGCTCGGCAGGCCGTGTTGCTTTTCACTGGCCCTGTTGCTCGTGCACTATCTCACAATGGGGTCTGCACACTTGTATACACACTTTGCACACTCGTATACATCCACACTTATATATACATCCACACTTATAAATGCATCCCAGGTGTTCAACGTCCCTGGCCGCTGCTTCCCCGTCGACATCATCCACTCGCGCGAGGATCACACCACGGATTACGTGTCTGCGGCGGTGGACACGGTGCTGCAGATACACACGCGCCAACCACCGGGTGCGCGCCGCCGCGGCCGCCGCCGCCGCGCTGCCCCCCTCCTCAATTGCATGAGCGAGCAGCGATCCAGGGGCCCGCGGCGTTTGCGAGTGGCGCGACGGTCGCTCATATTTTGCCGCCGGTGCGGGCGGGCGGCCGCCCCTGGCGGCCATCCCCCACAGCTACTCCAAACGTCGCCGCCACGCATCCGCCAACACTACTCCGACAACAACTTCCCAGCAAAATCGCCCCCCCCAGCAACAAACGGCCAAAACCGCCCGAAACCTCCTGAAACCGCCCGCAACCCCCCAGGCGACATCCTGGTGTTCTTGACCGGTCAGGCGGAGATAGAGAAGGCCGTCGCCGCCATCAACGCCGCCGTCTGCTCCCTGCCCGCCGGCTCCGCCTCTGACCTGCTGGTTCTGCCGCTGTACGCGTCGCTGCCGCCGGAGATGCAGCTGAGGGTGTTCAGGGCGGGGCCGGAGGGGGCGAGGCGGTGCATCGTGGCGACCAACGTGGCGGAGACGTCGATTACGGGTGGGTGCGGGGG